CCTAACAGAAAAGATAACAGCAGAAGATAAATAGACCAAGAAGAGGTAATCTTACCTTTAATATGTTGGCTTTTCTAAACTTATTTTTTGAGTTTTCTGTTCTTTTCTCTCAGTTTTGTTTCCTGCTTGCTATTTGAAGTTTTTTGTTTTTCACCTTCTCTTTTCTTTGCTTTTGTGTCTTGTATACAATTTTGCTTGTTTCTTTTGAATTTGGTTCTTCTGGACTTGTTTCTTCTTTTGACTTTCAGTATAGCATATAGTTATAGTACCTTATTGGTTTGCTGCTGGCTCTTTTAAGATCTATATTATTTATGAAGGTGATTGTTGCTGTACTTCTTAGATTTTTATTTCTGTTAGGGGAAATGTGTACTGCCTTAGCTCTTTTGTTTCTCAGATATCTTAGTAACAAAACCTTCAAGGCTCCTCTTGCTAGGCCCATTAGTTTAGCAGTATGTTGTTCTTAATTATTCTTTTGTATGTAGTCTTTGTAATCCTATATTATATATACCAAGTTGTTATCTCCAATTGGTAGTGACCATGGAGCTCTTTCTTTTTCTAAAAAGATGGACTGAATTATTGCCAATGCCTTGAATCTTGTTCTCTTAATTTTGACCACTTGTGCATCTCTTATATTTCTGCAGATGTATTTAATTTCTTCTTTTCTTATGTTTGCAGGTAGGTCACAAATTGTTAGAAATTTGTTAGTCTTTTTTCTTCTGTTTCTTTTTTCTTTCCCTTTCTTTTAAGTGTTCTTGTCAAGACTTCTTCTTTTACTTCCTAATTTTTATGTAATGCTTTTATTCTTAAATGCCATCTTGTTATTGTTTCTTCTTCTTTAATCATCTGCACCCTGATCATGTTTCTTTTTTGGAGTTCTTTTATTGCTGTTTCTCTGCTGTTGTTGCAGTCAAAATCTAACTTTACCTATTTATTTTCTCTTGTTAATTTTTCTTAGCAGATTTTATATGCTTGTTTTCTCCTAACAAACTCTTTATATATTGTAGTCTTTCTTGAATTGTGTTTCCTTTCAGATTGCAGGCTGGAATTTTTGCTCTGTAGGAGCTATTAATATTACACTTTCTATTCACTAGAGCCTATACATTTTGTTCTAAGGAGGTTTCTGTTTCTTCTTCATATTGTAGTTGTTTGTTTGATTTTCTTTTTTATGTTCTTTTTGTTTCTTGTCTTTTAGCATTGTCATTCATTTTTACATTCTTTTCTTCTTCTACCTTTTCTTCTGTTTCTTTTTCTTCTAAGTGCTGTCTTCTTTTTTTACTGCTTTTAGCTTTTATACTCCTATTACTTACTGTAATTTCTATTTCTTGCATCTTGTCTTCTTCTCTGATGATTTCTTCTGTTTTCATATTTAACAGAAACTCAACTGATTTCAGGTTCAAACTTATAGTTCTAATTTTTCTAGCACACTTTTAGATACTCTTGTATTGTAATTCTGTGTTGTTCAACTTTCTAAAAGCTGTTATTATTTGGTCATATAAAAGTAGATCATATACTGTAATTTTGTCTACATCTTCTACAACTAAGCTTTTTGCTATTAACTTTATGTCATCTTGGCTTGTTGGCTTTGCTGTATCTAAGACTTTAACAATCTTTTTGCTATCTGTATACTTTATTACTTTTGCCCTGTAATTACTAATATATCTTAATAAACTCTGTGCTTATGTAACTTCTATATGTCTCAGGTCTTTTCTTAGATTATTCTGCATATCTAAATCTATTTATCTATTTTCTTGTTTATTTGTTGTGTATGTTGTTTATTTCCAAATCTGTACATATTGCATTTGTTTACTTGTTGTTTACTCAGATGATTGATTATATATTGTTGTCTATTCTTTTTTAGGATTAATAGTAATTCTTTAAAATTTTTCAATTTTCTGAAATTTTCTTTACTTTTATAACAAAAGTTATTGCTATATCTCTTGCTTTTCTTCATCTGCTGCAACTTTATATTCTATTTATGTATTTTGCTTGTCGGCTTCTTTTTGCTTAGTCCTTCTTTATATGTTTTTTATGCTATTTATTAAGCTATTTATGATTTTGTGTTTTGTCTAAATTTGTAAAAAGGAATTAGTGAAAAGAGTTGTAACAGTTAATATTGTTTGGCAAGAGAATCTGCTTGCTCATTAAGATAATTATCTGAATAAGCCTGCACTTTATAAAAGATAATATGAGGATGAGTCAATAGAAAAAAGACAAATTTTTTCTAAGTAAAAGTTTTTTTGACTTAAGCTTAAATATCTCAACAACTATTTTATTAAATTTAATAATTTTTTTTTATTTTAATTCTATATAATTTCAAGATTAAAATAAAAAAATTTTAGCAAATTTGATTAGATAGTTGTTAAGTTATTTTAATTTAAAAATTAAAAAAAATTTACTAAAAATGATTTGTCTCTTTTTTATTGACTTCCTCATATATAGTTTAAATGATTTAATAATATTTAAAAGAGTATGCCAGATAGGTCATAAGTTGAATTTGAATAACTTATTAGAATAAGTTAAGTTGAAGATTGTTAAATTTAGAGATTTCTAATTGTGAATTAGTAAAAATATTAACTACTAAATTGCAAAAGGCTGTTAAAATTGCTGCAAAAATTGAGAAAAGCTCAGCTTTATATAATAAAGACCAGGATTGTATTTTAGCTGAGAAAGAATTAATAATTTAATCATTATTATTAATTTGAATCCAACTAATACCTATTGTGCATTGGTCAGTACTGATGTTGATTACAGAGGCATCAGTATAGAAGGATAGTTGTTAATAAGAGTGATTGTAATATGAAATAGATATAAGTTTGTTAGTAACTTTATTTAGAATAAAGATTTTAAAAGCAGCTGAATTAATGATCAAAATTGTAAATAGAGAAAGAATGATATATAAATTTTTAAAGATTAAATATAGAAATTTGCAATTAAAATTTTCTTATAGTTTTTTAAAAATTAGCCAATTAGAGTTAATTTTTTGTATAACTAGAAAAAATATAAAGCATCTAGAAAAAATTCAAAATATATACAAATATAATTTTTTAAATTAAACATCTTATAAAATTTTAATATAATAAATAACTTATTTAAATCTATATATTATTAAATTTTGTTAAAAATTAATTAAAAAATGAGACGCAAATCACTAACTCTTTCCGACGATCACTTGTACCAAATTCTCTCTAAAAACAATTGCACTTTACTCTTTAT